AGAGACAGCAGCCCTCTGCCCACCCCTGTACTTAGTGTCCCTTCTGTCGGAAGGGGGGGGGGGACGGCGGCGGCACCACGCCGCCCCCGCTAAAAAGTTCCACCCTACCGTATTTAATTTTATACCGGCGTATAAGACGAACCCCGACTTTTGAGAAGATTTTCAAGGGTCAAAAAGTGGAAAATACGGTATGTTCCCCGAGGTCAAACGCGCCCCCCTTGACGGAGCCTCGGCGCGCCCCACTATTTGAGAAGCACTGCCCTAGACACACTTCTAAACCTTGTGGACAACCTTCCCAGAAGAGTTAAAGCTGTTATAGCTGCAAAGGTTGGGTCAACTCAGTATTGAACCCTACTGACTTTTGGCAATATATAGTGTATTTGTGCAGGGTGTTGCATACCTTTCCCTGTACAGTTAAAAAATGTACATTGATTATTTTTTGCTTGTAGAGCCTCTAAAGCATTGCACCAGCAATCAGTAGATCGCTGGTGTCATGCAGGTCTCCCCCCTGACCTATCAGTATATCTGCTTGCTCGTACATCCCGTAGGGCAAACAGATACTTACCAACAGGAAGGCTCAATTAACTACACGGCACTGTGGAGTTCTGTGATGGTTCATTGAAAACTACAAGCTGACAAGCTGTTGGGACCTGTAGTTTTCCCATTCAAAGAATACTGCGAATGAGAGCTGTGGCCACATGGCCATGGTTTCTTTTTTAAATTGTGACACCTAGCAGGGAGGAGAAGATCTTCCGCTAGCTGTCACAGCTTGTTGGGGGGGGGGGGGGGGGGGCTGGGCTGTGATCGTAACATGTTACACCTGAAAACTGGTGTAACATGCTACAAAAGGTGAACTTACCCCTTTTAACCTCTTCCTGCTGGCCTTATGCATTTATGTGGCCTCTTGGCGGGTGACCCTTAACACAGGGAGGCCGCATATACAGTTGCAAGAAAAAGTATGTGAACCCCTTGGGATTACGTGGAGTTTTGCATGAATTGGGCATAAAATGTGCTTTGAATGTCATCTAAGTCATAAAATAGAAGAACACAGTCTGCTGAACATAATACTACACAAACATTAGATGTTGCCATGGTTTAATTGCACATAACATGTAAACATGCACAGTGCAGGGAGGAAAAAGTATGTGAGGCCCTAGCTTAATGACTTCTCCCAGAGCTAAATGGAGCCAGGAGTGAGCCAACCTTGACTCCAATCAGTGTGATGATATTGGATGTGTTGCTGATAGCTGTCCTGCCCTTAAAAAACACACACCTGTTTTGGGTTTACTGGTTTCAAGAAGCACTGTCTGATGTGAACCATGCCTCACAGAAAAGAGCTCTCAGAAGACCTACGATCAAGAATTGTTGACTTGCATGAAGCTGGAAAGGGTTACAAAAGTATCTTCAACAGCCTTGATGTTCATGTGTCCACGGTTAAGACAGACTGTCTACAAATGGAGAAAGTTTAGCACTGTTGCTACTCTCCCTATGCATGGTCGTCCTGTAAAAATGACTGCAAGAGCACAGCGCAGAATGCTGCATGAGGTAAAGAAGAATCCCAGAGTGTCAGCTAAGACCTACAGAAATCTCTGGCACATGCTAACATTTTTGTTGACACATCTACAATAAGGAAACCATTAAACAAGAACGGAGTACATGGGAGGACACCACGGAGGAAGCCATTGCTGTCCAAAAAGAATATTGCAGCATGTTTGAAGTTTGCAAAAGAGCACCTGGATGTTCCACAGCACTACTGGCAAAATATACTGTGGACAGATGAAACCAAGATTGAGTTGTTTGGGAAGAACACACAACACTATGTGTGGAGAAAAAAAGGCACAGCACACCAACATCAAAACCTCATCCCCACTGTAAAACATGGCGGAGGGAGCATCATGGTTTGGGGCTGCTTTGCTGCCTCAGGGCCTGGACGGATTGTTGTCATTGATGGGAAAATGAATTCCAGAGTTTATCAAGACATTTTTCAGCAAAACGTACGACCATCTGTCCGCCAACTGAAGCTCCGCAGAGGATGGGTGATGCACCAGGACAATGACCCAAAGCATACAAGTAATTCATCAAAACAATGGCTGCAAGAGCAGAGAATACGCCTTCTGGAGTGGCCCAGTCAGAGTCCTGACCTCAACCCGATTGAAATGCTGTGGCATGACCTTAAGAGAGCGATTCACACCAGACATCCCAAGAATATTGCTACACTGAAACAGTTTTGTGAAGAGGAGTGGTCCAAAATTACTCCAGATCGTTGTGCAGGTCTGATCTGCAACTACAGGAAACGTTTTGGTTGAGGTTATTGCTGCCAAAGGAGGGTTCACATGCTTTTTCCTCCCTGCACTGTGCATGTTTACATGTTATGTACAATTAAACCATTGCAACATCTAATGTTTGTGTAGTATTATGTTCAGCAGACTGTGTTCTTCTATTGTTGTGACATACAGTTGTGACCAAAATTATTCAACCCCCACTGAAATTGAGTGTTTTGGCCAGTTTGACATTGCTTTTGATCATTCAGTCATCTTGCTTACATTTACATTAAAGAGGCACTTGTAGGTCAGACAAATATAACATAACAGTTATAATGAAATAACCACAAATGTCTTTTCTGTGCTCACAGCATTATCATTTTTATTCAACCCCCAAGTGACATTCAATCTTAGTACTTAGTACAGCATCCTTTTACAGTTATAACAGCTTTTAAACGTGAAGCATAGCTTGACACACAAGTGTCTTGCAGCGATCTACGGGTATCTTCGCCCATTCTTCATGGGCAAAGGCCTCCAGTTCAGTCACATTCTTAGGCTTGCGCACTGCAACTGCTTTCTTTAAGTCCCCACCAGAGGTTCTCAATCGGATTTAAGTCTGGTGACTGCGATGGCCACTCCAAAATGTTCCAGCCTTTCCTCTGCAACCATGCTCTAGTGGACTTGGAGGTATGCTTGGGATCATTGTCCTGTTGAAAGGTCCAACGTCTCCCAAGCCTCAGGTGTGTGACGGACTGCATCACGTTTCCATCCAATATCTCCTGGTACTGAAGAGAATTCATGGTACCTTGCACACGCTGAAGCTTCCCTGTACCTGCAGAAGCAAAAAGCCCCAAAGCATGATTGACCCTCCACCATGCTTCACAGTAGGCAAGGTGTTCTTTTCATCATAGGCCTTGTTCTTCCTCCTCCAAACATAGCGTTGATCCATGGGCCCAAACAGTTCTAATTTTGTTTCATCAGTCCACAGAACACTATCCCACAACTTTTGTGGTTTGTCCACATGGCTTTTGGCATACTGCATCGACTCTTCTTATTCTTTGGAGACAGCAAGGGGGTACGCCTGGGAGTTCTGGCACGGAGGCCTTCATTACGCAGTGTGCGTCTTATTGTCTGGGCTGAAACTTCTGTACCCACATCTGACAAATCTTTTCTCAGTTCCTCAGCAGTCACACGGGGACTTCTCTCCACTCTACGCTTCAGGTAGCGCACAGCAGTCGAAGTCAGCATCTTTCTTTCTGCCCACGACCAGGTAGCGTTTCAACAGTGCCCTTTGCCTTGAATTTGCGAATGATGCTTCCTAAGGTGTCTCTTGGTATGTTTAACATCTTTGCAATCTTCTTATAGCCATTGCCCTTCCTGTGAAGAGAAATCACCTCTTCTCTTGTCTTCCTGGACCATTCTCTTGCCTTCACCATGTTTGTAACCACACCAGTAAATGTCTAGAAGGAGCTGAGTATCACAGTCATTTTAAAGCTGCCTAATTGGTGCTTATTATGCTTGATTGCTGCTCGTGGTGACATCCACAGTGTTTTCAATACTGATGGAAAGCACCTGTATGAAACCTCTGTTCTTCAGAGTGGTAGTCTTTAAGGGGTTGAATAATTGTGGCAATGAAGAAACCACATAAGAACCATTTACTACTGTATTACATAAACAATTGATGTCATTTTAGTTGCATTTGGGTAGTTACAACGTCCTTGTAGGATTTGATTCTGAATACAATTCCAAATGTACACTATAGTCCCTAAACCCCTTTACAGCATTGGGGGTTGAATAATTTTGGTCACAACTGTATATGCCGTTCAGAGCACTATTTTATGCCCAATTCATGCAAAACTCCACGTAATCCCAAGGGGTTTCACATACTTTTTCTTGCAACTGTATGCGTACCAAAATGTAAACAATGCTGTGCCAGGAGCATGTGCGCACAGCACAATTACTAGCAGGGTAATGGGAAAGCTCCATATCTTTACTTGCTGCTGTGATAACCAATTATAACAGTCTCATCACGAAATGTCTCTCTCCTGGTGTCTTAAACCTCTTAAGGGGCCCTGGGAGGTGCCAGTGGGTAGGGGTTAAGGATGCTTCTTTGTCTGACCTCGCACAAAAGGTGGCCTTTCTTATTTGCTATCATGACAGAAATATTACGTTTTAGCCCCTTTTGCACGTATTGCGATGTATAAAAACAAAAATAAGTGCCTCTACTGTTTAAAAATCCAGTAATACTCTGTCTCACCCTGCTCTGCCTATGTTTAGTTGCTATCTATTTTTGCCCACTGTGCCCAAAAGGTAAAAGTTGATCTGCCGACAGCCAACAGTTTTACTGATGCTCAGAGACCCTGGGCTTCTATCCTTTAAGATAAGACTGCAGTGTGTACAGACCACAAGCCAGCATTAGATTTTCTGGCAAGAGCAACAGGTATTTTTTTTTTCACAGGTAGAAGAAAGAAAACATATTCAGTGGTATATTAACCACTAGCCTACAGGGCACTTATACCCCCTTCCTGCCCAGACCAATTTCCAGCTTTCAGCGCTGTCACACTTTGAATGACAATTGCGCGGTCATGCAACATTGTACCCATATTAAATTTTTATCATTTTTTTGAGACAGAGCTTTCTTTTGGTGGTATTTAATCACCTCTGGGATTTTTATTTTTTCTTAAACCAAAAACCACTGAAAATTTTGAATAAAAAAACTTTTTTTTCTTAGTTTTTGTTATACAACTTTGTAAATAAGTGATTTTTCTCCTTCACTGATTGTGCGCTAATGAGGCTGTAGTGATGGGCAATGATAGGCTGCACTGATAGACAGTGATAGGTGGCACTGATGAGGAGGCACTGGTAGGTTGCACTGATGGGCGCGTTGACAGGCATCACTGATGGGCACTGAAAGGCAGCACTCACTGATACATGACACTGATATATGCACTGATAGGCGACACTGAGTGGCAGGCACTGACTGACACTGATGGGTGACATTGAAAGGCAGCTCAGATTGGCACTGATATGTGGCATTGATGTGCACTGATATGTGGCATTGATGTGGCACTGATGGGCACTGGCACTGATAGGTGGCACTTCTGGGGCCACACTGATCATCAGGGAACACTGATTATCAGTGCCCTGATGATCAGTGTAACATGTCCCTTCTACGGAAAGCCGATTACCGGCTCTCCTCTCCTCTCACGAGCTGTCAGCGTGACAGCTCGAGAGGAGGAGAAATGCTGATAACGGCATTTCCGTGTTTACATGTGATTGGACCAAGCTGATCACAATGACCGAGCCGACATCTTCGGCTCTTTCCGTGCCTCGGACACAGCGGACCGGCGATCGTCTTTGCTGCACGCTCCCGCAGTGAGAATGGTAGGACGTCATATGACATCCTATCAGATCGACAGAACCACCTTGCGCCCGTCATTGTACTATAGGGCGGTGGAAGGTGGTTAAATAAGCCCAAAGAGAGCAAATAAGATAAGTTCCTTGTTTGTGTTTACATATACTTTAATGTTTTCTTGGTGAGTTCCCTGCTCTTTGGACTGAGGGGGATGATGCTATGACCCCATCAAGCAACATTTTGCAGGGCCTGCTGATAGTAATCAAAATTGTTTGTTATGTAAAACATACTGTAGCAAAAGATAACAGGTGTGTTGGGGTCTCCTTGACTGTCAACATCCAGAGAAATATTCTATAAAATAAACTGTCACAGGTGTGTGGCAACAGATATAATTCAACATCAAAAAAAATATAGAAAAACAAGTTTTTACATCTTTATTACAAAACATAAAACCATAACTCAAAGCATACACTGTAAGCTTAGACCTTAGGGCGGGTGTCGGCAACCCGCGGCTCCGGAGCCGCATGCGGCTCTTTTTCACCTTTCCTGCGGCTCCGGAGCACACTGCCCACCAGGTGACAGGCAATAGGGTCGGCAATCCGCGGCTCTTTTAATGCAGCTCTTCTATGTGCCGGGCGCCCGCTCCCCTCCCTCCTCCAAACATTGGCTGTCAGGATGTAGGCGGGGGCAGCGTGACGAACTCCTCTCCTCTCACAGTCCGCCCTGAAGACCAGAACGGCGCGGGGGAACACAGCTAGAGGAACGCGCGGAGCAAAGGTAAGTGAATTGACACAGGGGGGATGAATTACTATAGGGGGGATGAATTACTATGGGGGATGAATTACTATATGGGGGATGAATTAATTACTATATGGGGGATGAATTACTATGGGGGATGAATTACTATATGGGGGATGAATTACTATATGGGGGATGGGGATGAATTACTATAGGGGGGATGAATTACTATATGGGGGATGAATTACTATGGGGGGATGAATTACTATATGGGGGATGAATTACTATATGGGGGATGTATTTTCAGTTTTAAAAATGTTTCTCTCAAAATAAATTTCAATCGAGGTTTTGGCGAGATTTGGCTCAGTTGAAAAAAAAGGTTGCCCACCACTGACCTAAGGCTATGATTGTGATTATGACGATACACTGTGGCCCTGGTTAACCCTTTGCTTACTGGGCCCTTAAACCCCCTTCATGACCAGAGCGCTTTTCGCAATATATGCAGTGTCGGATTTGTTTTAAATGTTGCAATGGTTTTGCGGCTCCCAGTCTTTTTTTCCCTCTCGGAAACGGGTCCAAGTGGCTCTTTATGTCTTAAAGGTTGCAGACCCCTGCCTTAGGGGAACAGAGCCTACATCTATAACTCTCATAGGTTCAGTTTATTAGTCTTGAGGTAAAGGCTGTCTCTGACACAGTTCGAGTATCACTCCTTCTCAGGGGCACAAGTATATCTAGATTTAAAAAAATAAATAGTACTAATAATAATAAATCTGAACAATAAAAGCAATTTTCAAAAGCATGGTCCTCTGAATACTCACAAGCTCATACAGAAGTTAGCGGTTACAAGACTACAGATGAAACTTAAAAACAATAAGCCTGGAGTTGAGGTGGAGTAATCCCATGGTGAAGAGTCCCAAGAAGGGAAAATGGACAACTGTATACGTAGAGAATATACGTGGGTGTACATATAGATATGCTGACCATAGGAAGGACCATAGGAAGGACTCATTTTGCTGTTTGAATTATATCTGGTGCCATCAAAAGTCCCACACACCCATGATTCAATTTATTGGACAAAACATACTGTAATTAGCCAAAGGAACGTGTGCAAAAGGCACCCCACCCAGGCATTTTAAAAATTTGTATGATGGAAAGTCTAGCCCTATGATGATCAGTTATATTTGTAGTCCTTGTGCAATCATTTCTGTGCATAATCCTGGATTTTGGTGTGGGTACTTAGAATCTAGACCTAAAAATTTAGCCATTGGTATATGGCTATACCGGTCAATGGTCATACACTTCTGGATGTGAGAGTTAAGTTTGGCACACTAATCACTCTGTAAGACCAGATCAATTGTTATTTGGCTCTGGAGACAAAAATAGAAGGACCTGAGTTATTACTGTTGATCTACAGCTAGTAAATTCCTATTTTCTGCTTGAATAAAATGAATGTAACAAAGCATGTAATACTTCACCACAAATAGTCTGTTAATTCAATAGCTGAAAAGAAATGTTAAATATAGAATCTGGCAAGGATCCGCATTGCTTACTTCAGGCAATCTGATCCTTTATGCTTTTGCGACTTACAAGAAAATGCTCTGGGCTGCTTACTGATACTTTATAAGTGTACACAGGGGCAGACTGACAACTCATGGGGCCCCCGGGCAATAGGGGATCATGGGGCCCCTGTGTCCTTGCCCAAACTCAAAAAAGCCTATGAAAAAGGTACCAGGGGCATCTCATGGGGCCCCCTACTGACCCCTGGCCCTCGAGCAGTGCCCGAGTTTCCAAATGATCAGTCCACCCCTGTGTGTATACAAGATACACCTGAGTCCTGCACAGCCATGCTGTTTTCAAAATATCAGAGTAGGAGATCAGGGGTTGCAGGGGGCAGACCTGGAGCATGTTATATGGGTGATCCAAAAAGTGAACTTAAATCCTTTAAAATGGTTCTTCTAGCCACTGAGGCCGGCCTCTGAGCAGGTACCATGAGATGTCTGGTGTTACCTTTATTAGCCAGAAAAGCCACTTCTTTGCATTCCCTATATTAGCTTGGTTAGCAATGGCAAAGATGCTAATGCACATGCAAGTCTCATTATCGCAAACAACAGTAGTACGCCAGATATGGCTAAACAGGCTAAGTAACCACAACAAAACCAAAGAATTAAACCATTAAAAATTAACACTGCTGTGTTCTGTAATTACTGAACCCTGCTCCAATAATAAAATAGGGATACACAATAATACTTTGCAAACATACTATAAATGACTTAAAGCTTAATTCCAGACTGCCCTCTTGGGACCTCCTTCGGCTATATTTTATGCGTTTTTGTTTTTATGCTTACCTTTTTTGAAGTCCACAAGTTGATCATATGATGACGCATGGTCCTCTTCTCCTCCTCCTTACCGATACAGAATGCAGCAGCGATCCAAGTTAATGGAATTAAAGAGCTCAAGCAAGTGAAAATAATGTTTTCCTCAAAGACAACACAATGCTTTAAGCAGCAAATTAAATTAGCTTGTCTTCAGCTCAATGACAGCATAAAGTCTATATATTCTCAGCAAAATAACATAACAGAGTTTCACTGACAAATAGGCTAGTACACACAGGAAGGTGCTTCTCCAGAGCTTGATGTGTTTTTTTTCAACCCAGAGGCAGTTCCCAGCAGGGCTCAGCAATACCACATCTCTCAAAGCTTTTGACAGTCACTTGTTGCAAACTCTTTTTACACCACATGTGCTCCTGGTACACTGCTAAAAAAATAAAAGAAAACATTTTAATTAGAGTAAAGCATCAAGTCCATGAAACTCCTGGTTTATTGATCTGGTCAGGTAAGTATCAGAGGGGGTTGTTAATCAGTTTCAGCTGCTTTGGTGTTAATGAAATTAACAACAGGTGCACTAGATGGACAACAGTGAGACGACCACTGACATTTTTTTCCCTACTCATCTTTTCTGATTGTTTTTCACTAGTTTTGCATTTGGCTAGGGTCAGTGTCATTACTGGTAGCATGAGGCAATACCTGGACCCTACAGAGGTTGCACATGCAGTCCAACTCCTCCAGGATGGCACATCAATAGGTGCCATTGCCAGAAGTTTTGCTCTGTCTCCCAGCACAGTCTCAAGAGCATGGAGGGGATTCCAGGAGACAGGCAGTTACTCTAGGAGAGCTGGACTGGGCTGTAGAAGGTCCTTAACCCATCAGCAGGACCGGTATCTTCTACTTTGTGCAAGGAGGAACAGGATGAGCACTGCCAGATCCCTATAAAATGGCCTCCAGCAGACCACTGGTATGAATGTCTCTGACCAAACAATCAGAAACAAACTTCATAAGGGTGGCCTGGGGGCCTGACGTACTCTAGTGGTCCCTGTGCTCACTGCCTGGCACCATAGAGCTGGATTGGCATTTGCTATTGAACACCAGAATTGGTAGGTCTGCCACTGGAGCCTTGTTCTTTTCACAGATGAGAGCAGGTTCACCCTGAGCACATGTGACAGATGTGAAAGGGTCTGGAGAAGCTGTGGAGAACATTATGCTGCCTGTAACATTGTTCAGCATGACTGTTTTGGGGGTGGGTCAGTGATGGTCTGAGGAGGCATATCCATGGAGGGATGCACAGACCTCTACAGGCTAGACAATGGCACCCTGACTGCCATTAGGTATCGGGATGAAATCCTTGGACCCAATGTCAGACCCTACGCTGGTGCAGTGGGTCCTGGGTTCCTCCTGGTGCACAACAATGCCCGGCCTCATGTGGCGAGAGTATGCAGGCAGTTCCTGGAGGATGAAGGAATTGATACCATTGAATGGCCCCCACGCTCGCCTGACCTAAATCCAATAGAACACCTCTGGGATATCATGTTTCGGTCCATCCGACACCGCCAGGTTGCACCTCAGACTGTCCAGCAGCTGATTGATACCCTGGTCCAGATCTGGGAGGAAATACCCCAGGGCACCATCTGTCGTCTTATTTGCAGAATGCCCCAACATTGTCAGGCATGCATACAAGCATGTGGGGGCCATACAGACTACTGCCTGCTGCATCATTTTTTCACTTTTATTTTTGGGGTGTCTGAATTCAGTCCTCTGTAGGTTGATCATTTTAATTTCCATCAAACGATGGGGCATCCTTACATTCCTAACATATTACCCAGTCTATATCA